CATTATATGAAATCTTTCTCTTCTGTCTATCGATGATGTTCATCTAGCTGATCGTTAGTCTGCAAAACTGGGACCAACAACACTTTGTGGGATTCTCATGAGGGGGAGAACAAGCGCCCGCGGATACTTGAGCATGTTGCTTCTACTAGCCAACCCTCAAAGCCAAACCAACCCTCTACCTCTACCAATGAGCAACCCACTACTTCAGCTAGCCATAAATCCCTAGCCACTCTCTCTAGCATGGTCGAGCTAGACATAACATCCCGAGGTGCATCTCCTATAGATGTTAACCAAGGACGGAATGGAAGTCCTGATGATGCTACCATGAGTACATCTTCTTCCTCAGGCCATCAGCTAGAACCTAGTTCGAAACTGATGTCAACGGGCAATCCTGAGGATCCCGGAGTCACCCAGTCTCAACCAAGGGAGGATTGGCCGCATGTAACAAAGTATAGAGGTCTGGTCTCTGCGCAAGAGCATCGTGTTGAGATAATTGAGGATCCCTGCAAGTCTCATCAGGATCCCGATGCTACGCCAGACATATCGCCACAGCAGCAGCAGAATCCCTCCAGCCAACACGATGATCAAACACCCGATGAACTTGAAGAAATTCTTGTTTATGACAAATGGCCCCGCCAGTGGACAGAATGGGATGATCTTAGAGTGGAGGCGGAGCAGTACGAAATGTGTCGAAGTTGGCAGCTCAGAGAGTTTCTCAATAAATATCACGCACAAATGATTGGGCTCGACAATGATGAGATAAAAGAAGGAGAAAAATACAAGGAGCCTAAATCTATCACGAAACAAAAGACTACTCCGAAACCCCTGGACAGTGTCAGGATTAAGACTCCCTTTCTGGAAAAAATCAAAGAACGAATTTGGCGCACACCTGAGAAGATCAAGACCTACAGAGAGCTCAGGATGCGTGGCATCAATCACCTCAAAGGAAGAGACAGAGGTGGAAACTTGTACATGCTCGGACACAGATCCACAGGAGAACGACGACAAACTTTGAATCATAATCTTGCAACAAGCGGATGTCCAGTACAAACAATCATGAAAGTAACAGAAGAATACTTGGAGAAGATCAAATTCATGGTCTTTCACCTACAGAGAACTGATGGATCAACATTCACCTGTCAAGAAAATGATTTCTTTCTGTTACATATGGACGATGTCTATCAAATGTTTATGAGATGCAGAGAGCTACCAGTCCATAAAGATAGACTTGCAAAGGAAGGTTTTGAAGCCATAAAAAGGTTCATGATGAGACAAATTCGTTATCATGGAGGTCATGATCTTCAGATGGGCCTGGAAATGAATTATCCCAAAGTGAATCTAACAAAGCCAGATCTTGACAGACCAGGGATAGAAGACTTCCCAGAAGACCACATCTTTGACAACCCAGTCTCGGTCATCTATCTGAATCATGAAGGAAAGAAGCGGCTTTTGTTTGTCAATGAAATAAACAAATATTGCGATGGGACACTAAAGATCATCAGAAATAGATTGCAATCAAAAAGGGAAGAACTCGTCAAGAAGTCAACAGAAGCTACAAAGGATGAACTCAGGGAGCTGGAAAGAACAGAAGATGTCCTAAAAGCCATAAAGACACAACTTGAGAACAGAAATTCACTCAGGAGCTATGAGCACGCGCTAAACCTCAGAAAGAACTATTACAAAGCTCAGAAGTGAAGAAACCCAGCAAGACGGCACTTGACCACAAAGGGGGAGATTGTTAGAACTTTTATTGTGGGTCAAGTTTGTCTGTAATGTCTTGATTAAATAAAGTAGACTAGTTATACCATTTATGGTATTAGATTAGTATTTATTATGTAGCAAATAAGGTAAAGGGAATAAGGCCCAAAAAGGCCTTGGCCCAACTTCCAAGGTTTACCTAAATCGGTAACCTGTACAGCGCCTATAAATACGCGCCTTGTGTACAGGTACCGATATCGATCAATACACATTAGCCTTACGCTGCCAAATTTACTTCTCGATACTACAGAAAGAAGGTTTCACTGTTCTCGATAAAGCTTATATCATTATATGAAATCTTTCTCTTCTGTCTATCGATGATGTTCATCTAGCTGATCGTTAGTCTGCAAAACTGGGACCAACAGAAAGTATTATTTGGTGGATAAAGGTTATCCTGAAAGAGATGGATATTTAACTCCCTACCCCAAGACGAGGTACCATCAGTCAGAGTTCCGTGGTGCAAATCCGAGAGGAGTTCAAGAGATTTTTAATAGAGCACATTCCTCTTTAAGAAGTTGTATCGAGAGAGCTTTTGGTGTTCTTAAAGCTAGATGGAAGATATTGCAAAAAATGCCAAGATATTCACTAATGGATCAAAACAAGATAATTTGTTCATGTTTTGCATTGCACAACTACATCAGGAGAAGCACAATAGTAGATCCAGGCTTTAAATTTATTGATGAGGATCCTGAATTCATACCTCCGGATGTATTTGAAGATGTTGAAGGCGGTGTTACACAAGATAATGCAAACATTCGAAGTCAAGAAATGAGAGTTATCCGTAATAATATAACTTCTAGCTTGATGGAAGCTAGACGCATTCATAAATAATTCTTACCATCATTACTTTATTTTAAGATAAACTAAGTATGTAAAATGTTTGAGACGTGGTTTTACTTTTTATTAGTATTAATGAACTGTTTGAGACGCGTGATTATTCATTTTCGTAATTGACACTATTGATGTTTTTTTGCAATACAGAGTCATCTTACTTCATTTTAAAAGATTTATTGGTTAAGATTTATTATGCTTGTATTTAAAATTTAATTTATTCTTTTAAAATTTTAAATAAAATATTGTTTTTCTTAAATAATCTATTTTGCAAATAATTTATAGTTTTAACATTCTTACTATTAGCATTACTCAAATATTATATATACACCCATGTCCTTATACGTCATTTTACATTCAAACAACTGTTTTATAACAGCTAGTTTTACCAAACATTTATTAACAATAAGCTAACATAATCAGCCAATCAAAACAGCCAACACAACCAGCTGTGATCAAACAGCTGACATAACCAGCTAACAGCTAAAGCTAACAGCCGATTGCCAAACAACCCCTTTGTATTGTTGTACTCTAGGATATATGTGTACATTTAACTTCAACAACACATATGAAGAAAGGTAGTAGTTGTAGATTAGGATAAAAAACATACATGTTAATGTGTATGTGTATATACATTATCATATTTTCTTACCCACACAAAACACAACGTTACTTATCATATTTATGCAAAAATATTGATAAAACTATAAATTACACGTCTCCGACTAGTCCCCCGCCTAGGCGCCCGCCTAGCCGCCTAGGCTCTAGGAGTTGGGCTGACGCCCGACTGGCGCCTAACGCCTTTTAGAACATTGCTAGCTAGTGGGTCACTATTGTTGGTAATGTCACTAGACAGCACGTCACTATGAGTGACAATGTCACTGGTTGGGAATTCAATGTGGCGGGCATTAAGGTTGATCACTATGAATGAGGGTAGTCAATGCTCGAGTGGTCAACGGATGGTGGCCACTGATGAATCTTTGATCACTGATGATTTTGAACAATACTGATTTTGGATTTTTTGTCACTATAGTGATGGTCACCGGAGCGGTAGTAATTGAGATGATCATCACCAGAATAGTAGTAACTAGAACGAAGTAGTAACCGGAGCGATAGTAACTGGAGTGATAGTAATTGTGACGGTGGTCACTGGAGTGATAGTAACTAGTACGATGGTCACTGAAGTGATAGTAACTAAGAAATAGTAACTGGAGCGATAGTAATTGAGACGATGATCACTTAAACAGTATTAATTAAGATTGTTTTACACAAATTTTAGTATAATAAATTAAATATTTAAGACACTTATATTTCCATATCCAATTACCTTGAGAAATAATTTTAAAATAAAAAAGAAGAATTAGTTGTTGGAGATGATTAAAAAACAAGTGTCTATCTTGAGAAATAATTTTAAAATAAAAAGGAAGCATGTTTAGAGATGACATTCTTACGCACTATACTCTTGCCCAATGCAATGCAATGTCAGAACGGAATAGAGATGTCAATTGTGACCGATCCGATGGATAACCCACACCGAACCACCCCGGTCAAAATGGGGAAAACTGCATTGACCGGGTAATGGGAACGGGGCGGGGAATACCCGTTTTGTTTTTACGGGTAACGGGGTGGTTACGGTTTTATGCCTGCCCACACCACTACCCGCCCTGTACCCGCCCGTTTATTTTTAGTTATGTTTTTATTACTTTTTATCTATTATTTGTCCCACAACTAATAAAAGATGAGATTTTTTATGTTCATTGTGTATATATGGATAATAGATGTACTAACTATAGTGTAAGAATGAAAGTTCTCAATAGAACTTAATAGCCTTGTTTGATTATTCTATGAATTTTCGTGATTAATTATTTTTCAGATTAAGTATTTTTAGGTTCAAATTAATTTAGGTTGTCTTCTTTCTCGTCGTTTGAGTCTAGCGTCGTCTAGGTGATGCCATTTTTCGCCTTTTAAAATATTATTTTTAATTAAAATATCAATGATTCATTTAATAAAGTGATTACCCGCTGGGGCAGTTATGGTTTGGGTAAAAATTACCCGTTGGGTAATGGGGCGGTTATGGGGCGGGGGAATTACCAAACGGGGCAGGTACGGTTATATGTAAAACCGTCCCCGATCCGCCCCGTTGCCATCCCTAGAACGGAGTAACGTTATGCGATGCAATGTTACAGAGTATTGGAGTAATACTACACTTTAGGAAGGGTAATTAAGTAAAGTAGGTATTAATTAGTCACATTTATGGAAACTAAGAATAAAAGTCTCTTTTTTGTCCATTATCTAAATTTTACTACTCCCTCCGTCCCAATAAATTCTTTCAACTTTGAGTTGGCTCGCATATTTAGGAAGTGGAATAAAGTGGAAATGTATGGTTGTGATTGTGTAAGAAAAGGTGAAATGAATATGAGCCACACGCAAATATGCAGATCTTCGTGAAGACCCTGACGGGGAAGATGATCACCCTCGAGGTCGAATCATCGGACACAATCGACAATGTGAAGGCCAAGATCCAGGACAAGGAAGGCATCCCGCCGGACCAGCAGCGGCTCATCTTCGCCGGAAAGCAGCTCGAGGACGGCCCCACCTTGGCAGATTACAACATCCAGAAGGAGTCAACCCTCCACCTTGTCCTCCGTCTCCGCGGTGGTGCGAAGAAGCGTAAGAAGAAGACCTGCACTAAGCCGAAGAAGCTGAAGCACAAGCACAAGAAGGTCCAAAGGCTTCGCAAGGAATGCCCTAACGCCGAGTGCGGTGCCGGAACCTTTATGGCTATCCACTTCGACAGGCACTACTGTGGAAAGTGCGGCCTCACCTATGTCTACCAGAAGGGTGGTGATTAAGCTTTTTTATGAATCCTTTACTTTTTCCCATTATTATTACATCTGGATTATGAAATTTAGCTTTTTGTTACTGTTTTGATTTAAGGTGTTGTGGATTACCTTCCATCTAAAAAAAATGAGCCACACAAATTATCCAAAAAGAAAAAATTGGAAGAATTTTAAGGGACGGAGAGAGTAATATTCATGTCAAAAACCCAAGTTAAAAACTAAGCACTCGTTTTCAAACTACCGAGTGTCTGACTTGTGCATAATTTGTGGTACTTAAACACTACTACTTCCATAACAAAACAGCACGATTATTTAGACAATAATTAAATAAATTACTTTAAGTATATTTTGAGAAATAATTTTAATAGATAATGTAGTTAGTATTGATAACTGTGATGTTATAAATGTATTATTTTTAATATTTAATGATCAATTTGTCACTTAAGATTGTTAATTGTTTCCTAAAATGAAAAAAAGAATCTTTATATAAGACGTCCAAAAAAGGAAGGTGGGAACCTTCTAATGGAACGAAGAGAGTACATCTCAATATGCGCATGTGGCAAATTGCTACCATTGTGTAATTAGTACAGTGACCCTCAAGTTGTTCGGGTTGACCCAGGAATTTTAGTGACCCACTAATTTCACAAACCACACACACAGCTCGAGTGGTGGTCAGGGGCACTAAAGAGCATCTTAAGTCTTAACTCTTAACCTATTATCCAAATCGAAGAAGGTAATCTTTATATATGAATAGAAAGGCCTGTGTGCTTAATTATAGTGGCAAGAAAATAAAAATAAAAAGTACAGGAATAGGGATTTCCCACTTTTTGGTAAAATCCCATTATCACAAAATGTCGTAGTGCACCGTAAAAATAAAGCAGAGTATTATTTGTACACTCAAATAGGGCTATTCAACGCATTAACGGTGCTGCCTTCCCTGAAAGCTGCCTTTATTCTTTGCAAAGAAGGTGTTCTTTGGTTTTGGAATCTCATGAATATCCATCACTTGTATTGTCCTTTGCTTTTTTGCTTCACAAAGCAAACAATACACACCACAGAAACAACCACCAGTCAAACATTAGTAAGGAATGCGGTTGTAGTAAATAATGCCACAAATAGATTCCTAAGTGCAAAAGCAAACCATTTTGTGCTTCTTGGTAGTTCTCTTGAAGCCTCCTCCTCGCTGAATTTAGCTTTTCCACATCTACCACTGATTCCCTTGGAGGCCTCTGCAAATACCCATGAATATAACATTATGTTCTCCCCTCTAAGCCACATAGACAAAAGTAGCTGTTCATTCAATGATGTCAATTTACAAACCATTAACGATCGCCTTAAACACCACATGTTTATATTAATGGGCTGTTACTTAAAAACAGAGGGAGTATTATGCATGCATATGTGCGTTTCAATCTCCATCCTGAAGTGACGATCAAAAAAAAAAATCTCCATCCTGAAGTAAAAGGCTACGACAACGAGCCCTTGAACCTTTTGCAGCCTTGGTTTGAATTACGGAACTCTAAACGACTTGACAAGAATAAAAATTACAACCAAGGATCCAAATAAGAAAACTAACCAACAAACCAAGTTGATGGGTTTGACAGCTGCCTAAAACAATCATCTTGTATGCATTACAAAATCCTACATTAGTTGGCATGAACACAGCACGAGGAATCGTACCATATTCAGCAAGTCTTAGATTATTTTGACCATATGTCAGTGAACAACTATGATGCAAAATCCCTAATATTGGAAATGCATTGGTAAATAATCATTCCAACCCCAGTCCCTCAGAAGCTCCATGTCAATACATAAATGACATCATGCACTTCCAACTTTTACTCCCAAATAAACAGACTGAAACTTATGATTTATGAGTCTTTGTGCACGAGAAAGAATGAGGATATATACAGATGGAGGAGGAGCTGAAGCTGGCTTTGGAGCATATTGAAATGGTTTATTAGGAGTTCCATTCCTAGAAACTGATCTTGGCTTCTGTTCCTGTTCTGAATTATTCCGGTCTAAGCTTGAGCTCCCATCTAAAAAACATCAGACTCAGTTGGTCATATTGATATTAAAAAGTACACTAAACTTGTCAAAGTGATTCATGAGTCATAATATGTGATTCCAATATTGAGACTTACTTCTTGGATTTGGAGAATATCCAAAATCGGGTACCTGAAAAGGACCATCATACTACTACTTAGACATTGAAAGTTTGAACTTTGTGTTTAATTTAATTTATGGTTCTTCAAAGATGCAATTAGTAATTTGATTAGAGCATAAACCTGATGATGACCATTCTGTTGACTCTTATACAAGTTCTGCTGGGGCGAATCTCCCTCAGCTGTTGCCACAAGATTCATTGGTTACAAATTGCAGCTAAAAACTATTGAAACTAAAATAGTGCTAAACTGCTTGGGGAACAATACCAATTAGATTTGAAGAAGCTTGTTCGGGTTGGTTAAGCCTAACCCACTCATCTACAGTTTCTTTCCATTTTCTGCAAAGAAACCAAACAACATTTATGTCATTAAGACACAAAAGTTTCATGAGAATTGTGTTAACGAGTTATAAGCGAAACAGGTTAACCAGTCATTAACTGCTTCATTCCCAAAAAACAACCAAAACAATTGTTTTAGTTGAATCTTTTGGTCAGTGGAATTAAAACCTGACTAGCTGTTTCAACAATCTCTTCACTTCATTTGATGGATGCTTCCTCAATCGATTCACGTGCCTTCCGATATCAGTTTCCTAACCAAAACGGATGAAAAGTTTGGTTTTCCACATAAATACTCCGGAACCATCAAGGGGTAAAAAAAGAAAGATTTTTTTTAACTCACCTTCAGAGCTTGAAACGTAATATCCATATCTTCAAGGTTTTGCAGCAACTCAATCACAGACTCTTCAGACTATTCCATCCAAAAATCACACTTTTAGCTTGAAAAACTGCAAACTAACAGATGACGAGATGACTTAAAAGATTTCGAGAAATTATAAACCTGTTCCGGATCTTCAAGCTCCTCTCTGATTCTTAGAATTTTAGTCTGCTCATCGTCAAACAGACCTCCATACGGATCAGCATCCTCCTCCTCTTCTTCTTCCTCTTGTTCACCTTCTTCCCGTTCATCATCAACATGAAGACGATGGTTAGACTCCGGGCTCGAAGGACTCTTACTAATAACACTATTGAAGTTCACAACACCGTCCGCAGCGAAGTGACCGTTGACTTGGTCGCTGCAGTTCCGGCAGCGAATCGAGTACAGCTTCTCAACGATTCTGTCGCGGCGATCCTTCAACTCATCGGCGTAGTCCACCGACGCCACCTCAATCGCCGTCCCAATCAGCGTCCACACATCCGTTTTGGAATTCGACAAAATCAACCGGAGTTCATCTCCGTCCATTCTTCACCGGATCGTTAGTTCGCTTTAATGGGTCTTTCTGTATCAAAAGAATGTATAAACACGAGGGACAGGATTTCGTGGTCACGTCACCAGATCTGAGACTTGAATGGAGGGCGTCACGCGATCTAGGAACGACGCCGTTCTGGGCAGCTTGTCGGAAAGGCGGAATTTTGGTCCATGGAAACTGAAGCAAAAGAGAAGGCAGGTTTGGAGTTAGAGCAGAGGTGGTACAGATAGCGTAGAAGGAGGAGGCATCGGGATTTGGGGGAAGGGGTTATTTTCGTTTTTGCCAGAAAAGAGTGTTCTGGGAAACTTCAGGAGCTAAGAAGGGTATCTCCTGGAATAATAATCGTCTGATTCCCCTTTTCTTTTTTTACGCATATTTTATTTATTATACTCGCTTTCCGCCTCTCCCTCCTCCATCTGTCTATTTTTTACTTTTGAAATTGAAAAGAAAATTTGTTGGGTGATTATTACTAAGATGATCATATAAATACGTCTAAAAAGTATTACGGAAAAATGATGAGATATAAAAAGTAATTACTTCAATCGTTTAACAGAATAACAGGTTCCACTTGTTCTTTAAGATAGGGCTTTTTAATGTTGAGGGCCCCAATAATTTTAAGGGTAATATCAATATATTGTGAATTATTTTGTATTAATATATTATAATAATAATTAATATTTCTAAAGTAGTGTGTACGTGGCACGCATGCAATAGCCAATAGGAAGAATGCGACCCACCCGTAATTCGGTAATATGTAGCAGAACGGCTCCGGCAGCTACAAAAAAATAACAAAAAATGATGACATTTGTACCCAATCTTATACTCACTTTTGTATCTATCTATGTTTGTGAAGTGTTTTTTTATCTGTGAACCCTAATTGACAAACAATATTTTGCACAAACAAAATATTGTTTGTGAACTCTGTTCACAGACAAAAAAAAAACACTTTACAAACATAGTGGGTATAAGAGTGGGTACATCAAACATTATTGAGAAAAATAAAGGGCACACCCACTCTCTTATTTGGAATGAAAATGAGACCAGATTCGAGAAACCAAACTAGATCAGGACAAACATGATTAGTCTAGATCAGTTATAAAATTCACAGGAACAAAACATTTACTAGATCAGGCCAATTCGGATCAGAGCGACATAAAAGGGCGATAAAGATGTTTTTACTTGAACATTTTCAGTCGAATATCAGATCAGTCGAATAAAAATCTTATTTGACCTTTTTTGGTTAGTACGTGGGCTTATTTGCCCCTTTTCCCAAACTTTCGAGTTTGTATATTATTAGTATATATAAAAGGGCATAATGATAATCCTGAGTCCTATTCAAAGAATTTTGCTCCGTAATATTTTAGTCCTCTTTAGATATTTGTGTTTAGTTTTAGTCTTAAATACGAGTATTCTAAGTTAAAAACTGATCAAGATCATCCAAAGAATCAAGAATGGACCTAAAAAGCTCGGATCAAGGAAAAATCAAAGCGACCAAACAAAAAAGAATTAACGATTTGAAAAATTGTTCATATATCTGGTCAGGCACTCAGGTATATGCAATATCTGATAAGATATTGACCGGGTAGCCCATTCACCTAGTCAGTTATCCAGTCTTCGCCTGAGACCGGAAAACGGATCAAATTCCTGCCCGCACAGTACTGGACACGGTTACGGACTAGGTCCATGCCTATTTTTTTTGAAGGGGTCCATGCTTAGCTATAATTCGATAAGATCTAAATATTATTCAATAATCAATATTTAGATATATTAGATAATATCAAAACACCTTGCAAAAAAAAGATAATATCAAAATATACGAATATCTTCTTATGTCGACTCATGTTGGTATCCTAAATTATTTTAGGACCAAGGCTGGATTATTTTTGTGTGGTAGATTATATCAAAATTTCTTCTGGATTATTATTATGTGTATTTAATATTAAATTTCAAATTTATTAGAAAATATCAAATTTATGAGATTTAATCAAAATTTCTGTCTACATACCCAAGGCATGGCATCAAATTTCTCGCCCATTATCCTAAATTAAGTTTACTCTTATATATAGGGAAAATTTGACTTTGCATCCTACATTTTGGATAGTATTGGACTTTGCACCCCATTTTAAAAAACCTTTGACTTTTCACCAGGCCTATCATATAACATTTGTGGAGGAACATTTCAAAATGGGGTGCAAAATCAAAAGATTTTTAAGTGAAATGGGATTCAAAATCAAAGTTTTTTTTTAAAATGGAGTGTAAAATCCAATATGATCCAAAATGTGGGGTGCAAAGTCAAATTCCCCGATATATATACCCGAAACAAACCTTGCTAATTTCGTATACTAGATGTATATAAAATCAAACTGTTTTGGGAATACTAGATAACTATACAGTCAACACAAGTTTTTTTTTGTAAGTTGTCAACACAAGTTCTTCACCACTTCAAAACTAAAGACTGGCCTGGGTGCCTTAATGAAATTTAAAATGGTACACATATATATATAGAACTTTTCGTTGAAGAAGATAAAAATTCTGACGAATTCGTTCGAATGATATGCCTTGGGGGAGGGGGAATCATGAACTGAGTATTATACTACGAACAATCACATTTAGGAAGAACAAAAACTGTATTTATTTAATTTGATTAATTAAAGTAGCAGACAATTCAGATGATCGATCAGACATGTAGGTACACGTGGCAGCCGGCCGGCTGTTTGCCACGAAGACCAGCATGATTTGTACTGCACTATACTAATTGACGACAGGACTTGGAATGGGTTGAAACGAGCCGCCGACATCATCAGCCGGAGGCGACGATTCGGCGCGCGGCGTCGCAATAGCCTCTGAGAATGTCGGACTCCTCCGGGGAAACGCCGATGCCGGAGAGAACAGCCGGCCAGCAGTGGCGAGTGATGGTGGTGATGGCTTCGCAGCACTCTGCCCCAATGTCGATCGTCCCGTTGATGAAGTAAGCCTCGATCTCACTCATGCAAGACTTTATCTCCCACAGAGCATCCCAACACCCGGCTGAATCGGTTTCCAACCGGTGCCCGGCTATAAAGCCGACGGCCGGCGGTGATGCTGCCGGAATCTCTCTTCCCTCAACGGTGGAAGCACGATTCGAATTCGCGATGATGAACAGAAACCAGAGGGAAACAATCCATTTCATCTCACCCATTGTACGTACGTTTAATTTGAGTCTAGCTAACCTGATTAAGATCGGGAATGGCTGGTATGGTGATCAGCATCGATCAATTTATATTGAGAGATTTACTTGGGGGAAGCGGAATAGTTCACAGATTGAGTTTTTTCCCACTCCCAAATAAATATTGGAATTCAGAGAGGTAGTATCGAATAAAACTGCTAGTTAAATCTATATGCCTTTTCATTTCAAAGGTTTGTAACGTAGTTTTTCAAAGATGAGTCGCCAGACACCTACTTAAGTCGTAAGTCGTAACATTGTAATTGCTTGAATTGCCGAATCTAATTAAATTTGTGAAATTCTCATTTAAACATTTGGTATATAATTTATAAATAATATGGTATATAGATAATAATTGCCTAATTGGTATTTAAAATGATAGTAACTTAATAAGATGATAATATGGTAGATATACTTCGTATATAGTATGTCGTGTGATAAACTAATGTGGTAAATAACTTCTGAAATATACTAGATGCTTTCTTGGGGACTAGTTTCAATTTCAGATAAAATGTTTCTTGTCTTGACTTATAAGGACAAAACCAGATCAAGCTTAAGTTTTTTCTTTTGAAAGCAGATCAAGCTAATTAAGTTGATCATCTTAATAAACCAATTTTGATAATAGCAAAGTACACATAATATCAAATCAGATCAGACTTAAAAAAATCGTATCAAACCTGAGCATAGATCAAATGAGATCATAGCTGATGGTATCATGGATCACAACCATGGCCCAAGACAAAATTAAAGAAAAGTCCATCAATAAGATCAACCCATTAATCGGGATTATTAATAATAATAATAATAATAATAATAATAATAATAATAATAATAATAGCCGCTGGGCCTAATTAAGGAACCCAACCCGAAAAAGGAACCCATAACCAGGTCAGGCTGGACAACAGACCTCGAGCCTGGACGGAGTTCTAGCGAGGTCAGACTCTTCCTAGGGCTTATGTGGCAGACTATATCATTCGAGCATAACTATCTGGCAGCAACAGGAAATGACGGAAGAGACGTGAACCTGAGGGTAACCATCATTGCACAACGTTCGGGACATTATATGACACAAATTCAATTAATTGCATTAAATGTATTAGTTTCCTCCTAGAATTCTAGGACTTAGGGTCTATAAATATTTCTTGTACACATCCTACCAAGGATCCAAATTCCGGAATAATAATACTGTTTTACGCTGCCTAAATTTCATCTGCTATCGTAGATTAAACTCTCGTATGTAGTTGAATTAAACTCCATCAATACCACTCTAGAATTTTTCAATCCACGTAAAAGATTACTATTTAAATTTATCATAGGGAATTAATTTGATCGTTATCGATTCTAAAGTAAATATTAATAAATTTTAAATAATGTCACCATTTTCTATGGTGATGCCATACCAAATTAGAATTATCATAACATATTACATGTGTATTTTAATATATAGTGTTTGTTTCAATTTAATTTTTGTCATCAGAATTATAAAAATGATGACATTAGGGATACATATTTTTATACTTGTCAGAACCTTTCGTAGATAATTGTTAATAATATTTTTGGAGTGAAAAGATATAATAAAGTACTTAGATACATATCTGAAAAAATGAATATTTGCGTTGTGTTCAAACGACAATAGTAAAAACAATGCAAACAATAGGGCGTTTAACAACGTGGCTAAAAGTTAGAATAATCTATAACAGCTTGCTGAGAAAAACTTGAGTAACCAAACTTGAATCCATTAGAATGAAATTTTGTTTAATAAATCCATGTGAACCAACAAGATATTTATTAGGGTTAAATGACTCTAAACCCCTTCCCTGTGTCATTGTGATTATATATTGAAAAATTTAAGTTTCGGCCCCTGCAGCTATATAAATTTCGTAAGTCCGGTCCCCCTACATTCTCAATGATCTACGCAATGTACTACTACCTCGATCCCCCTAATATTGGGATGGCAGATAGTGGTGTGCTCTAAAAAAAGTAGAATTATGTAGTTGATAATGAGTTGATATAGTGGAAATAAAGTAAGAAAGAATTAGAGACACACAAATGTTATCTATCAAATATGGTATGAGACAACAATAGAGGAACACTTACAAAATGAAAAATGGGACAATTATAGGGGCGGAGCCGCAGAGGTAGTACTCCGTAGTATTTTTCTTAGATATGTATAAGGGTTGGACTTTAATTGGTACCAAGAACCGAAGATTTGTTGGAACCGAACAGTTAAAATCTCATTTTATTGTTTTACTTAGCTTCTGTATGTCTCAAATAAATGTCTCAACTATTATCAGAAATATGTGATTGATATCATCTATTCAAATTAAATTCCAACAACTTTGATTCTTCAACCATTTTATTAATAATTGTGTCAAACTGGTTAAACTAAGACACATAAAATGTGACAGAGAGGTAGTACATGCATTTTAATCAAACCATTATGTTCAAATATATTCTTCTAAAACTATTTATAATTTTATGTGTGATTGACCGACTACTAACTATAAATTCGGTAAAAACTTATTAAGAAGATGTACAGTTCATCTGGTCTAAATACTTTTCAAAAATGATGTGCAATCTCAATATTTATGATTGGATTTGAACCATTAGTTTTTATCTGGCATGATCTGATCTGAGTCTTTCTGGTCTAATATGACGTGACTTTTTCTGATTAGAAACTTTCTTATATGATCAAAATCACTAGTGGACGCAGGAAATCCCAATTAGAGTAGTGGTTTCGTAAAGTTGCACTTCCCTTGTTTCACAAAATTTGACCAATTTGTCTTTTCTTAGTAAATACTAGTTGTGGAGAAGAATTGTGGAAGCATTGCAACGATCAAATTATCCGAAGATGCATCCCCGAATATGAGATAGCCCACATAATAGAGTTTTGCCATTCTTATTCTTGTGGAGGACATTTCGGCCCGAAACGGACAGCGGTGAAGATTCTTGAAAGTGGTTTTTGGTGGCCGAGTTTATTTCGGGACGCACATGGTTTTTGTCAATCTTGTGATAATTGCCAAAGAGCGGGCAACATTTTGAGGAGAAACGAGATGCCTCAAAACCCCATGCTTTTCTGTGAGATCTTCGATGCATGGGGCATTGACTTCATGGGACCCGTTCCCAAACTCTCAAGGTAACATCTACATCCTCCTTGCAGTGGATTACGTCTCAAAATGGGTGGAAGCTAAAGCCACCAAAACTGATGATGCAAAGGTGGTTGCGAGCTTTCTCAAGTCACACATATTTTCAAGGTTCGGGGTCCCTCGACTTTTAATAAGCGATCGAGGCACACATTTTTGTAATAAAATTGTGGGATCCCTACTAACAAAATATGGTGTGACTCACAAGATCTCTACAGCTTACCACCCTCAAACAAATGGCCAAGCGGAAACCTCAAATCGAGAGTTGAAATCTATACTCCAGAAAACAGTGAACCCAAACCGGAAAGACTGGAGTATACGCATTGATGACGCACTATGGGCATACCGAACTGCCTACAAAACTCCAATCGGTATGTCCCCTTATAGACTTGTGTTTGGCAAAGCTTGTCATCTTCCCGTAGATCTTGAACACAAGTCGTATTGGGCGGTAAAAGAATTCAACCTCAATCTTGACAAGGCCGGTGTGTATAGGTGACCGGGCTAAACTTGCAAGTGTACAAGTGCCGATATAGTAATAAATTCCGGTAAAATACCGGGTCGAATCCACAGGGAAACGTTGTTTAATTTAGTCCGAGAGTAGATGACTTTAAATAAATAAATGAGTAAAGTGCAGGGATTTTGAGTTGTATGTTGTTGTGAAAATAACAACTCGATTCTTCTTTTTAATTTTCAGAGATATAACTAAAATTAATTTGATTAAAGTGATTGATAACAACAACTAAGGCTTCGGGAATCACTTAAATGCTTTAATAGAGTTGAATATTAGTTCTTTACCAAAAATTATGAATACGATGTCGCTAATATATTCTCAACTCCGGTTAAGGCAGCGAGAGCGTGGTTTTCGTTACGTGTAAGTCCCGTTACGGCTTACATTCATCTACCGAAAACCCCGTTGAATATCAAGACATCACACCCGTATCATATAATACCGGATATATTTCTATTCTCGGTAATATATATGTTTATCCTTTAATGTTCATAGTTTAGACTTCAACGTTAATTGCAAGCATAAACTAAGTTTAACATACTTCTATGTTGTACACCATAGTCATAAACAATCAAAATGTAAAGGATAAATCACAATTTATTGGTTTAGAACTTTTATCAAACACCTAGTGGGCATAGAAGTTCATCCCTAGCCTTAGCTAAGAACTTAGCTCCTTGAGCTCATATTAATTACAAAAGTGTAACTAAGAACAATGAAATACAATAACATACAAGAAATAATACCTAGAACCAATTGTAGAGGAGAGAAATGGCTTCTTCTCCAACACTTCAAGAAAATGCAAAAAGGAAATATAAAAACTGAAATTTAATCTTCAAGAATGGAATGATCTTGTTTGATGAATTGGGGGCTTTATATAGGCTAAAGATTGGCATCTTTTAGTCTATTCGAGCCCAACAATCAGGCATGGAAGATATATTTGATCAGATCATGAGGAAGGTGAGTTTTTCCCATCAAGATATGGCTGCACGTCTCTTTGTATTCTGCAGATTCGGGCTTAACCGGCGCCGGTTTTAGGCTTGACCGGCGCCGGTTTTACTTCGGGGATGGAATAATAGTGAAAAACACCATAACCGGCGCCGGTTATAGGGTAAAACCGGCGCCGGTTATACGTCGGTCAGCCGGGAAAATGGCAGATTAAATGCAACCGGCGCTGGTTTGGTGAAATTCCGGCGCCGGTTTTGTCCTGGGATTTTGGGGATGTTCCCCTACGAATTTGGACATGAGTCCTTCACCAAAGTTGTAGATAATGAAGTCTTCTATCCACCAAAACTTGAATGACGTGATTTTATTCATCCAATCAAACGTTATGGCTAAAACACTGAGAGGTATGCATCCTGAAATCCCACCAGCAACATCTGACTTTGTTGGTTGATTGAGTCTTGTTCCTTTCATATTTTGGCCATGACGTCTTCATAACATTTGTACCTTATTGAGTTAGAATTCACATGAAACTCGAATCGAGTGATTTCGAGTTCTATAGAATACGTTATACTCAAATTATGGGCAGAACGTCATTCTCTTGATCT